AATAGATGCCATCCAAAAATGGCCCAAGCCCACTACTGTAAAGGCTCTCAGGGGTTTCCTTGGGCTTACCGGATACTATAGGCGCTTCATTAAGGGGTATGGGCTCATGGTCGCCCCTCTAACGCGTCTGTTGAAGAAGGATTCTTTCAGCTGGGTTGATGAGGCCCAACGGGCCTTTGAAGACTTGAAGACAGCAGTTTCAAACCCTCCAGTCCTCACTCTTCCGGACTTCATCCAGCCCTTTGAAATAGAGTGTGATGCCTCAGGTGCAGGGGTAGGGGCCGTCCTGATGCAGAAGGAACAGCCCATTGCTTACTTCAGCAAGGCCCTATCAGCCGCTCACCAGAACCAGTTCACTTATGTCAAGGAGATGATGGCAGTGGTAATGGCAGTCCAGAAATGGCGTACATACCTATTGGGACGCCAATTTATCATAAGATCAGATCAACAAAGTCTAAAGTATATAGCAGAACAAAGAGTGCATACCCCGGAGCAGCAAAAGTGGCTTAGTAAACTGATGGGCTTCGACTACCGAATAGAGTATAAACTTGGGCCCGCCAACAGGGTAGCTGATGCCTTATCGCGGGTAGAGGAGCTGGCCCAACTAACCTACTCTCAGCCCAGTTTTCCATTGTTTGAAGCTATACGGCAAGAGGCAAGGTCTGACCTGCAGCTGCAGGACATTAGGGAAAAATGGAGGCAGGACCCTTCCCAGATTGCAGGTTACCAAATTGTAGGACCAGACCTCTTCTTTAAGGGCAGGTTCGTGATTGCTCCAAATTCCAGCCACAAAACTGAACTATTGAAGTTGTTTCATGATTCCACATTGGGAGGACATTCAGGAGTGCTAAGGACTCTAAAGAGGCTCAGCAGCCACTACCATTGGGTAGGAATGCGCAAGGACGTGTTACACTATGTATCCGAATGCCAAACCTATCAACAGAAGAAATACTCCTCACAGTCTCCCGCGGGCCTTCTACAACCCCTCAAGATTCCAGAGCAAGTATGGGAAGACCTCTCCATGGACTTCATCACCGGACTTCCCTGTTCTTTAGGGAAGGAGGTTATCATGGTAGTAGTTGACCGTCTCACCAAGTATAGCCATTTCTCTGCCCTGCCTCACCCTTACACCGCAGCAACGGTGGCTGGCATCTTCATACGGGACGTCGCAAAATTGCATGGGACACCAAGATCCATTGTCTCGGACCATGACCCTGCCTTCATGAGTTCATTCTGGAAGGAATACTTCTGATTGCAAGGAACCCAGCTGCACCCATCCACAAGTTACCACCCCCAGACGGATGGACAGACTGAAGTTCTTAATCGGTGCTTAGAAGCCTACCTRAGATGCTTCATAGGGGAGAAGCCCAAACAGTGGGCCCACTGGCTTCCGTGGGCAGAATACTGGTACAACACGACTTATCAGTCAGCGGCAGGAATGACACCCTTTAAGGCTCTATATGGCAGAGAACATCCTCCCATATTACCTTATGAATTTGGGTCGGCTAAGGTGGCAGAAGTAGAGACGAGATCCTTAGATTGCTCAAGGCCAATTTGACTAAAGCCCAGCAACGGATGAAGGTCTACTATGACTCTCACCACCGCCCACTAGAGTTTCAGGTAGGTGATTTTGTCTACCTTAAGCTCCAACCTTACCGCCAGGTCTCAGTGGTGAGACGGG